GATGCTTCCTGAGTGCTTGTTAAAGTTTATGGATTTATTTTTTAATTTTTTATTTTTTTTAAAAGGTGACCGGTAAGGGGATCTTAACCCTTTACTTGGTGTTGTCAGCACCATGCTTACCCAGTGAGCTAACCGGCCAACCCTATATAGGGATCCGAACCCGTGGCCTTGGTGTTATCAGCACCACACTCTCCTGAGTGAGCCACAGGCCGGCTCAAGCTTGTGGATTTAAAAAATATACAGCTTTCCAGTTTTTTTCCTACTGATTGTACCCTGCATTTTGTGACAAAGCCCTTACCTCTCAGGAAAAAGGAAAAATTTACAATATGTAGATTCCTTGTGTGGAAGAACAATTTATTTTCTTCTTGTGGCTAAATTTATCCCCCCTTTCCTTTCCTTTTTTTTTCTTCATTCTTTAACCTTTCTGTTGCTAATGCTATAAACTTATCTGTGGTCACATCTGCTTTCACCTCCCTTTCACTCTCTGGTGAAAGAGGTGACCTTCCTCCTGCCCAGGAGCAGTCCACCCCCTAATCTGATCACTTGATCACTTTTCTTTCTACTCCTGGCCCTTGCTACTGTCATTTATTGCTGGCTTCCCCTCCTCTACAGTCTTAGTCTTTTGAGTTTTCTCTGCAGTCTGTGAATACGTCTACATTTATCCTAGTGATCATGGATCCTCTTTAGCAGTTTTCTTCTCTCTTCCTTTCACAGTCAAGTTTCTTGAGAAGAATAATTTATCCTTGGAATCTTGTGAATTCTCACTTCTCATCCACTTTTTTTTTTTTTTTTTAAAGATGACCGGTAAGGGGATATCTTAACCTTTGACTTGACTTGGTGTTGTCAGCACCACGCTCAGCCAGAAAGCCAACCGGCCATCCCTATATGGGATCCGAACCCGGGGCCTTGGTGTTATCAGCACCGCACTCTCCCGAGTGAGCCATGGGCTGGCCCCTCATCCACTTTTTAACCTGTGTCATTAGTCAGCTTCTTCCTAAACTGCTCAGGCAAAGAGCAAACTCACACTTTGTTAGGATGAGCTGAACTAGTCAAACTTGCAGGGACGTTAAGCGGTTATTGATGAGGCGGGAAGAGCACACTCACACTTTGTTAAAACTAAGTCCATTGGGCATCTTGCATTCTTTGTTATATTCTGTTCTCTGAGTCATTTGACAATGTTGATAATTTCTCTTGAAACTCAAAATTCTCTTCCAGTTCTCCAATTTCTGAGCATTCTTCTCCCTCTGTTCTGGTTGGCTTTTCCTCTGCTTGCCCTTTAGATGTGGTATTTTCTCAAGGGTTTTCCCAGGCCCTCTTTTCCTCCAACCTGGACCATCTCATCAGTCTGCTTGCCCCACTCTGGCTTTATATATTTCCAGTAGGCCAAGTATGCCCAAACCTTTATCATCAGCCTGCAAATGTATACACATACCCATGTGTATATCAGCATGTCCCACCAACACAAAACTCAACTCATCATCTTAACACCCCCCACCGTTCTCCTCCACACACAGACACATGCCTCCTCCTGAGGGTTTTATCCCAGTAAATTACTCCACTGTCTATCCTGTTGTGTAATTCAGCGACTCTAGGATTTGTCCTAGACTCTTTTCTCTCCCCTTTCTCCCACCTCATTCAGTTAATTGACATTCTGTTAATTCTGTTGGAGATCTATGTCCCTTTCTCTTATGCCCATATCTTCATATCTTGCCTCTACCACTGCAGCAACTTCCTGCTGCTAACCTGTCCTTGCTGATCTGTTATCCACACTGCTTAGTGCCATAAGTGCCCACTGTAACATGAAAATAAGATCACAAAACCTGACTACCTAAAACCCCCCAATTGTGTTCCATTACATAGAAGATAAAGCCTTGATTCCTTATCTTGGATTACAGGGTTTTCTGTGGCTCCTTGTCTACTTGTTGTACCCTCATCTACCCCTACCCCTACCCCTGACCCAACCAAGCACTTTGTAGTTTCTTTAATGACATGGTATATGCTATTTTTTTCATTTGTTTTTGTTTTTTGAAAACTCCTTCTATACTTGACTTTCTGGTAAATTCCCTCTTACTCCCACATCAAGATAGGATGTGTGGCACTCCATTTGAGAAGTTCTCTGGTCACCCCTCTGTCTCTATGGAGCTTATCATTTCCATCTTTGTAGCCTTCCATCCCCATTCGCATACACTGTACAAATTTCCATTAAAGCACTGATCACCCTGAAATCAATTTTTGGTTTTACATTTCTAGTTCCCCTACTAGACCATGAACTTGCTGGGGGTAGGCACTTTACCCTCCTCACCTAGCACTGGAAATGGCAGGGCACTGGCTTCAATAAAGGTTGCGTGAATGTATGAATGAGAAATTTTAACAGAAATTAGTGAATCACCTATAGCCTTGTCCCCTTTGCGGGGACAAGCCCAGGAAGCCAAATGTGGTAAAATCTCTACGTTTACTTTCTACCTTTGCCTTCCCAGAGAAATAGTAGTTATAAAGGCATTGTTATAACGCTAATAGCAATAACTAATATTTGTTTACTGCTTTATTGCCTGTAGAATGTTCAGATGAGAAAAATGAAGTACAGAATGGATATGAGTTGTTAGAGGTAGATAATAGAACGCATAACTAGTAGAGCAGGACTCAGGACCCAAGCTTTTTGACTCCAAATCCTAAGTTCTTCTTATTATTACACCCTGTCTCAGATGCATCCATCAACATGTGATTTAAAGAATTACAAAATTCATTTTTCAGAGGGCTACTAATCCTGTTTTCCTCATTCTCTTGCCAAAAAAGAACTCATTTACTCCATAATACACACTTCACTGTGTGAAGAATTCTTTATTTCATTATTCCACGTGAACTACTAATTGCAAGTAAGGCAAATTAGGTATCTGTCTTCTGGGAATTTAGAGCCTTCAGACAAGTAATACCGAGTCAGAGACAAATGATTTTAATGTGCCAGAAATTGAAAGAATGTTTGGTTAGTTAAGATTTAAATATTGTATATGATTTATTCATTCACTAGTCCTTGTTGAGCCACCTGTCTAACCAGGCACTGTAAGACTGTCACATTCCCTGTTCTCCTGGGCATCACAGGCAAGTGAGGGAGACAGGTATTAATCAGAGATGCCTACAGAAGAGAATGAATTATATCACAGGTGCATTGGAGGCAGTGCTGGAAAGCCAAGAAGGCCCTAGAGAAGTCAAGAGGCCTAAAGTTATAACATGTATGACTCAGGAAGTTACTTCCCCTTGCTGGGCCTTATTCTTTTCTTCCATAAAATGAAGACGGACCATTGGACTCTTAGTTCTGGTAAGCTTACCATGTCTTTGAGCTACGAAAGTGTCTTTGTTTGAACAATGAGTCACAAGACAGAGCAGACCATTCTTTTGTGTGAACTGATTATTGAATGATAATGCCAAATGTTGCATTTATTATCTCTGTAAGCAAAGCGTTCAGTCTCAAAATGTCCATATTGACTGCCTTAGTCCATTGAGAAAAACATACTCATACATCACAGCAATGCTCGGCGTTTTAGTGGACCCTGTTACAATCTTCAGATTATTCTGACATTTGAGAAATTGGATCTTCTTTGTTCAGTGATCATAAAAATCATCAATCTCCTTGTTCCCAATACCTGTATTTGATATGTAAAATGGAAATAATAATCCACAACTTCTTAATAAACCCAGAGGCACTGGTTCAGCGAGGAAGCAAATATTTGATGAACATCTGCTATGCATACAGCACTCCTAGGGTACAGCACAGACATGAATAAGAAGTAGTCTCTGCCCTAGAGGAATTTATGCCTTAGTCGTAGAAAAGAAAGGGTAAACGTATCTGTGCAAGAAACTGTTATAGGTGCTGTGATAGACGTCTATCTGGGATTGGGAGTACAAATGTAAGAGTAGTTAGTTCTGCTGGCTGGAGGGAGGGAAATCAAGGGGCAATGTGATATACGGAAAGGACGTTAGGCTTGGAGTTGGAGACCTGGGTTTTTATTTATTTATTTTATTATTATTATTTTTTTAAAGATGACCGGTAAGGGGATCTTAACCCTTGACTTGGTGCTGTCAGCACCACGCTCAGCCAGTGAGCGAACCAGCCATAGCTATATGGGATCCGAACCCGTGGCCTTGGTGTTATCAGCACCGCACTCTCCCAAGTGAGCCACAGGCCGGCCCAAGACCTGGGTTTTTAGAATATCAACTCTTTTTATACAAAGATACTTCAAAAATGTGGGAAAATGGAATGAAAAGATAATATGAGGCTGGCCAGGTTAACTCAGTTGGGTAGAGCACAGTGTTATAACAACAAGGTTGTGGGTGCAGATCCCACACTGGCCAGCTGCAAAAAAAAAAAATAAATAAGATGAATCTTTTGATGAACTCTTTGAAGGCCCCTATTTATTAGTATATATTTGACTTCTTTGAGCCTGGGTTGCCTCATCTATATAAAAGAACTAGTAGTACGTCCTTTCCATGGTCAGTGTTAGTGTGTGGAATTGTGTGTGGGTCTGTGTGTGTATGATAAAGTTCTATCTGAGCTCTAGGGACAAGGCCATGTTCTTGAATAAAGTGGGCATTAAGCCAGTTGTAATTGCAAAGGTAAGAAAAGATTTTATTTGAAGTTAGAGTTCAGATTAAATCCAATCAGGGATGAGCAATCTTTCAAAGGTAGCATGCCAACTAGGTGCCCATCTTGTCCTGGAAGATCAGGTGTCTGTATTCACCTCTTATGTGGAATAGCAGCTATGGTGGTAGAGGAAGTGGCAAGAAATCTGTGGTCCCTGAAAACATGTCCTTCCCTCGATTCTAGTGGCAGGTGTGGATTGAGTATCCTTGCTCACCTGTGCTCTTGGGTATAGAAATGGCAGTAGAGGTGTGTCTTGTTATTATTATTTCCTTAATTATATTTTATTTAATTAGTTAACTTTTATTGATAGAGGTGTATTAACTCTGACCTTTTTCCCCTTCCTCCCTTGCAACCTCCCTTGCAGATTTTATCATGTGGGCAACCTGCTGCAACTGGTTCTGCCTGGATGGACAGCCTGAGGAGGTCCCACAACCCCAGGGAGCCAGGACGCAAGCCTATTCCAACCCTGGGTATAGCTCCTTCCCTTCTCCAACAGGCTCAGAACCGAGCTGCAAGGCCTGTGGGGTCCACTTTGCAAACACGGCCAGGAAGGTAAGTGCTAGGGCTGGCCTGTGGCTCACTTGGGAGAGTGTGGTGCTGACAACACCAAGGCCGTGGGTTCAGATCCCTATATAGGGATGGCCAGTTAGCTCACTTGGAGAGCGTGGTTCTGACAACACCAAGTCAAGGGTTAAGATCCCCTTACCGGTCATCTTTTTTATTAAAAAAAAAAAAAAGGAAGGTAAATGCTGACTTCTTAACCTGCTCTGCCGCTTTAATCTTAGGACCCCGGGCAAGCCCACTGACCCCTCTGAGAGTGCTTGCCACCTTGCCTCATCTGTGCAATGCTGGTGACTCAGATCTGTCCCTTCACAAAAATGTTTGAGAAAAACCAAACAAAAGCAAAGCATCTCAGTGTACATTTGGAAACAACAGACCTGAATTGTTTTCAGCTTGCCTCTTACTAGCTGTATGACTTAACCTCTCTTGAGATTCAGTATCCCCATCTATTAAATGGGGATAATAGTACCTATCTCCCAGTGTTGTGAGAATAAAATGAGATAAGCCATGAAGGGTGCCCAGCATGATGCGTGGAACATAGTAGACACTCAGGGATTATTTCCTTCATTATTTATTTTATTAGTTATTTCCTTCATTAGCCACCATCATGGAAGGCCTGACTGTAAATTAATTTATACTTTTTATTGAAAACAATATCAAGGATGCCTCAGGTGCATCAAGACCCTAACAGACAAAGATTGGAGCTTATTTACTGTTGTGGATTTCATTTGAAATGCTTGGGATCTGTGCTTCCCAGATTAGAGAGCAGGAAGTAAAATTATTGGCTGGGTAATGGTGTGTGGGTGTGGGCCATCCCTTAGCCAGTGCGCAGAGGTTCCTATGGCCAAGCATGATGGGCAGAAGGTGAAACCCTGACCTGGTTAAAGAACTCCTGCTTTCTATATTCTCCTGCAGAGTTAGAGGTTTGCAGCCCAGAATGGGCAACAGGATGTAATGTTAAAGTGGTAATAATGGGAAATTTGAGAGGAAATACTTTTTTTTTTTTCCTTTTTGTCTTTTTTTTTACTGACCAGTAACGGGATCACAACCCTTGGTGTTGCGCTCGTACCGGGGACTGGCAACGGGATCGCAACCCTCGGTGTTGCGCCCGCACCGCGCTCAGCCAGTGAGCGGGAACCGGTCTCCACATGGGATCCGAACCCTCGGCGGGAGCGCCACCGCACTCCCAAGCGGCGCACTCTCCAGTGCGCCACCGGGCCGGCCCAAGAGGAAATACTTTTTAAACCATCTGCTAAAGTAGGGGGCTGTTTTAAGGAATTTAGATTTTTTTGTTTCATATAATCCTCACAATAACTATGAGAATAGGTTTTGGAATCCCCCAATCCCATTTTACATATGAGAAACTAAGACTTAGAGTTTAGAATTGGAAAAGAAAACTGTATGTCCCAAGTTCCTGACAAATAGCATATGAGACGTGAAAATACGCATTCTTTTGCCTCTAAGTAGTGCCACAAGATCACATAATTATTAAATGGCAGAGCTGGGATTCAAACCCAGGTCCTTGATTCCAAAGCCACTCAGAAGACATTTGGTGTGACTAGTTGAAGATGACAGGTCATAGGCGTGAGTGCCTAGGAGCATGGGAATGATTAAAATAAGGGACTTTTTCTATTTATTGGAAACAAATTATTGGACATCTGTGTTGCTTTGCGTTGCTTCGCCCCCCATGGATTTGTTACCTCACTTCCCCTGGGTGACGGAGATGCAAAGGATTACTCAAAGCCAATCTCTACTGAGCAGTGAGAGGCCCCAAAGTGGTTAACTTCCTGTCGGAACCCTCAAGAGAGAGGCATTTCTTCCTTGGGAAATTAACGCTGAATTGGGGTTCTCTTCCTGCATTTATTTTCCAGACCAGGAAGTTACAGGAAGAGAACAAAGGTGGGGGTTATAGTTTAACAATATAGGCTGGTAACTTTCAGTGAAACAAGCCAGATGACATTCCAGTAAGGCAATTAAGTGGTCCTATCAACAACAGTTTGATCTTAGCAAACATTCCTTCTTAACAGCAATATCTCAGTATCTTTACATAACAATCAGTAACTAGTCTGTCCTTTGAGCCAGCAACCTGCTGTGCCACAATCCTTATCTTGCAACAGAGACATAGCCTGAGGAAAATTTCCTATTCTTACAAGGTCAATATTTGAAACTGCAAAGCTTTGGAAAACCAGGCCCTGTGAAGTACATATGCTTTTTAGTATATTCCACATATCTGCTGTGTGTCAGCATTGCCTGGGCTAAGGAGGCAGAGATGAGGAAGGTCACCCCTGCTTAACAGGGAGCTTGTGGTCGGACAGGGAGGCAGGGGATGCATGCCCTACAATGACACAAGAAGAAAATGTCTGTAGCAAGAAGAGCTTTTGTGGGGGGAGGAAAAAGTCCAATTTGTATGGTAAAAGATGGTTATTGGTACAGTATTTTCTTGCTTACAAAGTATGAATGTTGTGCAATTCACAATGAATTTTATGAATGTTAAGAATGTTTTCTCGTATGAGAATTTTTCATTTGTAATTTTATTTCGCACTTAAGTGGATCAGCATTCTTATCTTAAGGGTTTGACATTTAACAGCCAAAGGCTTTTAAAATGTCCTTTGTAGAAGTGGTTAACTGAAATGATTACATGGATTCTGTTGTCTTTCTTTTTTTTTTCCCCATTATGGTCAGTATTTTCTGAATGCTCATTTGGTGCAAAGCACAGATAACATTAAGGACTTCATAGAGAGAACATAGTAAGATGTGTCCCCTGCATTCCCTGAGTTTCCAGTCTTAGAAATGGCTGGCACAATTTCACCACAAGCCAAATATTGCATCTGTATTGGTAATACCTAACTGTGGTTTAGCAGCAGCCCTGACAATTTTGGAGGAAGTTTGGCACCAGGCCTCTTTAGTTGGACCGGTTGCAGGAGGAGGAGGAGTTTGTGCTTGGAAACAGGAAAGTGATACTCAAATCTCAGAGGGGAAAGAGAGGAGCGGTTCTTGGGTACTGGCAAGAGCTCAGACATGAGGCAAAGGAGAAAAGGCATAAAAGGTGATGGCGTTACAATTTCACGAGTGTCCACCTTATGCTAAGGTTTTATGTACATTATCATGTAATACTTTCAATCATCCTTAGACTGGTAGAGTGAGAAAGTGTGCCTGACCAGTGCCAGGGAATATGGGTAGGGAGGGGAAGGGGAAGGGAAGGGCTGATTGGCAAAGGGGGAAGCAAGCAAAGCACCCTATGAGGCATCCCTGGAGAGTGGTGCCTGCCTGAGGTACTACTGCCAGCTCTTAGAGGGTGGATGTTTGAGTGCACTCTGGGCATTTCTGCACACACATTCCTTCCACCAATTCATCTTTCGTGCCACCTGGTTGCTCAGTTGGTTTGAACCATTTGCTAGAATTTATATGTGTTTCCTTTGCTCACTCTGCCCACATTTGTTGACAGTCCTTTTTCCTTTCCCTTTGTTCTTTCCTGCCACTGCACCCTGGGATTTTAGCTTTGAGCGCTATCTTCCTCCTTTAGGGTGTGTTTCAGATGCTGGCTTACTTCAGAGTCCCCAGTGAGCAGTGGGTATGTGGAAGCTGGGTTACTACCTTTGCATTCTTTTTTTTTTTTTTTTTTTTCCTTTTTGTTTTTTTTCGTGACTGGCAACGGATCGCAACCCTCAGTGTCGCGCCCGGACCAGACCGGGACCGGCAACGGGATCGCAACCCTCGGTGTTGCCCCC